TCTGACACCAAGCAGTTCTTCTTAGACGGCAACCTGCACCCCTGCAACATCCTAATGTGTCCCCATACGTGTGTCACCAATCTGCCAAAGCCCCGCCAGAAGCAGCCTGGTAGGTGTAGCATATCTGTAAACCAGGCTTGTAAAATGTATATTGAGCCCTTTTATGATGGTTGGTAACAACTGATCGTATCCACAAAAATAGAAGGAGAGAAATTGCTGATTGTCCGGCATGCCAGAGTCAGCAGGGTATGAAGTGTTATGAAAAATAAGAGCATGGTTATGTGTGTTACATAATGCACACATAACAGTTTTCTGAATTTGGGAAAGTTATATTCTTGCCATGTTGGCCCCAGCTGTGGCAAAGTTCAGCATATTTCATAAAACAACCTACACATAACACACCAAAACAAACAAACAGAAATCAATCAAATCTGGACCTGCAGAAACACAAAATACCAAAGAAGCAAAATGAAACAACCTGTAGATAGCATACAACAGTACATAAAATTGAACGCATAAAAGCCTGAGAATAAAAACACTAAAAGTTAAAGGAAACTTATTTCCATAGTGGCAAATAGTTTCCATGGGGCACCACATGAGAAATTGATCAGGCTGCCATTGGCTGGATATAGATTTGATTAGTTACTACTGGGAGGAATTAAGTCTGCATGTAGCTGTCTATAAGCTAATAGCCAGCACAGTAATCACTTATACTGTTGGTCACCCTTTTGACTGTTTTTTTTTTTTTTTCACTGCTGTGTGTGAATTGTGGATAAATTTTTCTTTTGTTGGAAGGGTCCAAAACTTAAAGCTTTATGATAGGCCATGGAAACCTGAGACAGTAGAAGAACCATGTAAACAACATGGACGTTCAGCATCAAGTAACTAAAGTTACAGTTTAGTAAAAGATACAGTTCATTATCATCACCAGTGAACACAGCACTAACTCCTTTCAGAATAAAGGCCCAATAATTATTTATGATGTATTATTATATTAAATGTAGTTAGATATTATTTGCAGTATTAGTAAATATTTGCGGACCACATGGAACCTGTCAGTAGGCCAAATCCGGCCTGTGGTCTGTATTTCGCCCAGGTCGGCCCTAAACCATTAGAAAACAAAGACTGCTGTGCCCCTATTCAATATACAAACTGTAAATTTTACCAAAATACTAAACACATTCACCCATCGCTCCTCTTTCCATTTCCACAGTCTGTGTACTTGACCACATCTAACCCAGTGTGACAGTCACAGTATTTCCCAAAACAGTAATGCTGTGTAGAATTTGTATATGTTCAGTTAGGTAATAATTACAGCCAATTATAAATTCTGAAGTATTACAGTCTTCTTGGGTAAAACTTAACCTGTCAGAGGTGCTTCATCAATTATGTTGTAGTACAAGGATTTATTTTGTTATTTTTTTCTCATGTAGTCGGTGTCGGTCCTGCATCCGTGATGGTGGGCAACCTGGTGGCAGGGAAGAGGATTGCCCAGGCTGCAGGCAGGGACCTCGGCATGATCGAAGACCAGGATCTCGTCCGGAAGGTAGTGTGACAATAAATACTGTAATTCTCACTTTCAACAAGCCACTAACTCTGTATCTGATTACTTTTTAACCACATTCCCGTTTCCAAAAGAGCCACATGCATGTCCTTAAGAATCAGCAGCAAACCTGTGCACATGATCATAGCCAGTTCACATAGTGTGATATAATAGTTAATAGTTAGTATTTACTATAAGTAGTAAATATAGTAGTAGTATATATAATAGAAGTAGTTAGTAAATAGTAGGTTTGAAGACTTTGTGTGTGCATTATGTAACAACGGCCCAGGCTCTGCCACAGCTCAGTATTATAGATGTAAAAAAATCTTCTCTCTTTCTGCTCTCGTCTCTCTGTGGATGTAGCTCTGTATGTGGCCCACTGTGATGGTAAGAATTATGGCCCCCTTCTGGCATCTTCCCCACACCTTTATTTATTCTTGTCATTCTCTAATTGACATTGTACTGTGCTTTTATTTTGTGTGCTTGTGTTAAAATGTGATGCAAGCAAAAATGTGCATGTTTTTTCTTTTGTTTTTCATTTTTTATCTGTCACAAGATATGCACCTGTTCTGTTGTTATCCCTTGTTTTACTGCAGACGTACCTTTCACAATCTAAGTTATTGTTCAATAATTTAAGAGCTGGATTGGCTCAGAGTATGTGGTATAAATTGTTTGCACATTGGCACAAGATAATTTATGCTGTGACAGCTTTGTACTGATGTATGCAGTCTCTGAGCACCACTTTATTTTGTTTTATTTAGGTGTATTAAATTAAGTTCCTCCATCAGCACAAACGTCCTCAATGTATACAGATTATTAAATCACACCCTCAGATGTACAGTACATGCTTATAATTATTCTTTTGTTTTTATTTCAGCATCAGTATTTGGCAGAGGCTCTACACTGGAGGGCTCAGACCGACCCCGATCATGTCCTCTTCGTTCTACTTAATGCCAAGGTACCAAACCAATCTATTATATATACATTTACTGTAAAGCACAGGATTAATGTTAAGGGTTTGCTACATGAATTACACCATGTGTTTCTGGTGAATTTGTATCTCTTCCTCTGTGCATTACTCCTGTCCTTCAGGGTGTAGCAGTGAGCACAGCGACCTGTGTTCAGCTTCACAAGCGGGCGGAGAAGATAGCTGCAGCGCTCACTGAGAAAGGCAGCATCAACACGGGAGAGAACGTAGTGCTGCTCTATCCTCCTGGTGGGTCCTGCCTCTGGCTTCATGTCCCTTTCTACATATTACTTCTATTGAGATTAATTATTATGAGACGTGGATAGTGTCCTCTTTTTTTTACCCTACCTTTGTCCTCCATCTTTCTCTCAGGCATCGATTTGATAGCCGCCTTCTATGGCTGTCTCTACGCTGGATGTGTTCCTGTAAACGTCAGACCTCCGCACCCTCAGAACCTGGCAGCCACGCTGCCTACTGTCCGCATGATTATTGATGTAAGTGTGTGCTTTTTTGCGCATGCACGCATGTTTTTACATATTTTGCGTACATACATGTGTGTTAATTCATTTAATCCTAACATCGAAGTCTTATTTCAGACATAGTTGTGGCCTGTAGGTATATATTAATAACCTGGAGACATTGGCCATTGAGCTACCAAAACTGACCCTGCTACCTAAAACTTGTGGGATTTTATTTATTTATGACTCTACTAACTTGTTTTGTTATTGAGCAACATTTTTCTGCTAGCTTAGACCTCTTAAGTCTCAATAAAAAAACTGCAGTTCACCAATAATGGGACTAATGTCTTAAAATCACAATAAGGGCACCAAGTTTCTGTGAAATGTTTAGATCGCATAATTTCTAAAGGCAATCTTGCATACACTGTAGGTGTGTCCTGTTATAAGTTGTATTTTGTGCCACTAAGTACAAAATCCTGGTCATAAATAATAATTAAGGGGTTCCTATTTAAGATTAAAAAATATTTGTTCACATTTTGTTTTTATGCGAAAAAAATAAAAAAAATAAAAAACATGTAATTGGATTTTTTATCATTTTCAAAAATCCATTATCAGTTGGGCTATAGGAAGATAGCTCATGATATTGTAGATCCTTCTCCTGTTCAAATGAATCATGCCTGTGTTCTGTTACCAGGTCAGTAAAGCTGCATGTATCCTTACCACTCAAAGTCTCATGAGGACTCTGCGCTCCAAAGAGGCTGCTGCCTCTGTGAACATTAAAACGTGGCCAACAATCATTGACACAGGTAAGATACCAAAGGATAATACAAATGGTTAGAAAAACCTGTTTGTCTTCTTAATTTCTCTATTTTAGGTATTTGTAATAAGAGATGACTGTACTTTTGAATGAAGAATACATGCACTGTTTACAGTAGTTAACTTTCTCATGAGTCAAATTCAAGATAGGCTTATCAGTTGCGGGTAGTTGTCATCGTAGTCAGTGTAAAGTTAGTTGTGTATTAAGTGCACAGTTCTGTCAGAAACACTCGTGTCAGTTACTATGGACCTTTTGCTGTGACAGAGTTTGCAGCATTAAGACAAACAGGAAGAGGGACATTTATCTGCAGTGCTCCAGTTATTACCAAAATTGCTCAGTGGGTAGATAAGCTTGTGGGTAGATAAGTGCTTGGTGCACTTTGGTGCTTGCAGCTATACTGTCTAAATTGTGTTCCTATTATTAATATTATTAGTATTATATGTATTATTTTTTAGATCTGTGGGCAAATTCAAATGTGTCTACACTGAATTTGCATGACCAATAAATAATATCGGATTCTAGTAGCAGTATGTAAGATCAATAATCGGAGGTAAAAAAATACATCGTAATGGTAATTATTAATTTTGTCCTGTGATTATTGCTCAATATAATTTAATGTTTAATTTGTTCTCTGTAAAAAAAAAAAAAAATGCACTGTCCTTATTTGCAGATGACCTTCCTCGCCGCCGGCCTCCACAGATCTATAAGCCACCTACAGCAGAGATGATTGCTTATCTGGACTTCAGTGTGTCCACTACAGGCATGCTCACTGGGGTGAAGGTGAGACAGATAGCGTTCCCCTTCAAATATTGCTGTGTTTGCTCTTGATCACAATCCAAAATCAACATCAGTGTCCGATATTAACTTTTTGACCCACTGACCGGTAGATAAAAAAGTCCACTGGCCAGGCATATTTTTTACTGGCCAAAATAATAAATTGTTTTTTGCGTCACTTATATATTTGTTTCAGTGCATTTCATTGAGATAATAAGGTACTTCTCAAGCCTGAATAAAGTCTCAGAATTCTACTAAAATCTACTTAGGGTTCTTAATTATAACCGACTTAAGAAGCACAATGATCTGTGCATTTGTGGACCTATTTTTCTTTTTTTTTTCTTATATATAACTGGCTTAATAAACATGGTTGATTTGTCATGTCACATATTTTATTGCAGGTGCAACATTAGTAGAGACAGTCATGTTGTTTTTTTCAGTTCCACAGAATCATAGATGCACATATCCAGACCACATCTTAAAAAAAAACACTACAAAGCTGAAAAACCTCCGTGCAGCTGCATGGCCTGTAAGAACTGATTTAAGTGATTAAAGCTATTAGCCATTGAGCTCATACCTATTGACATTTGCCAGACCCCAATGAGTAAGAGTATCAGTAAAAGAATAAAGTCAATAGCTTCTTTATAAAGCTGTCAGTCTACACTGATATTCAAAACATACAGCAGTAATCCATCATAGAAGAGCTAGTCTCCATTTATATACATTTACCTGAATCCAAATATAATGCAATGCAGCCACAAGCCATGCACTTGAAAATATATTTTACTGTAGGATGTAAAATTACAAAGTAGAAGTAGGCAAAGACAGAAAGTCAGTAGACCAAACAACGACAAATTAGAAAACTTAATCACAAAAACATCAAACTTCACAGATTGATGATGTGCAGCAGAGTTAGTGTGATATTTTCTTTTGAGTTTCTAATGTGTCTTCTTGTTTGTTGCAGATCTCTCATGCTGCAGTCAGTGCACTTTGTCGCTCTATAAAGCTACAGTGTGAACTGTACTCCTCTCGCCAAATAGCCATCTGCCTGGATCCTTACTGTGGTCTGGGTTTTGTCTTGTGGTGCCTCGCAAGGTATAGTAAACCATCACCTGCAGTACATACATGCTACATACTATGGTTCTAGTCTCTATTGTGTTGTTCCTCATCCATTCATCCACTTTCTTACCTTTATATCTCGTCTTTTAGTGTTTACTCAGGTCACCAGTCCATCCTGATTCCTCCCTTTGAACTGGAGAGCTGCTTGTCCCTGTGGCTGAGCACGCTCAGTCAGTACCGTATCAGAGACACCTTCTGCTCCTACTCTGTGATGGAGCTCTGCACTAAAGGACTCGGCACTCAGACTGAGTTACTCAAGGTGAGGACTGCATGCATAGATGGAGAATCATGAGTGACAGGCATAGAATATTTCTCAAGGATTTGATCATTTTGTGTGCATGTGTTTTAGGCCCGTGGTGTGAACCTCTCGTGTGTGCGGAGCTGTGTGGTGATAGCAGAGGAGCGCCCTCGCCTCTCTCTCTCACACTCCTTCTCCAAACTGTTTAAGGACGTGGGGCTGTCGTCCAGAGCCGTCAGCACTGCTTTTGGATCCAGGGTTAACCTGGCCATTTGCCTGCAGGTACACCAACCAGCTTAACCTGGCTTCACATAGAATTACAATTAGACTCATACCTAGATGAGAACCAGTGGGACTTGTATGTATCTGTTTGTATTGTGTGTTACAGGGCACCACTGGTCCTGATCCCTGTACAGTTTATGTGGACATGAAGTCCCTGCGCCATGACAGGTAAGAACACATGGATCAAAGTCTTTAGTGTCCGAGCATGAGCTTTCTAAATTTAAGGAGGTAAATTGTATTATGTAATGATGTCTCCCGCTGTCAGTCTGCTTTTGCATTTTTTTTTTAAATATTTTTTTCTAAACAGCAATAAAAAGGCTTGAAACGGTCTCATATTTAACTAAAAGCTGCAGTTAATGTATAACTCTTCTAAATCACATAATTCAAAATCATGATGCAGTCAATAAAAGTGTTAAATGGAAACAACAGCCATTAGATCTTAGATCTATGGTGAAAACAACTCCCACATCAACCTCATAAACCCAGCAACAGTGTAAGTAGATATACACTGTTCAACATATTCATCCATTCAGATGGATACTTTTCATTTAGAAAAAAAGGTTTGCTGTTCTTTTCTTTATTATTAAATACATGATTGTATATTTCTGCTTATGTATGTGACTTTTGCAGAGTGAGGCTGGTGGAGAGAGGAGCACCTCAGAGTCTTCCTCTTATGGAGTCTGGCAAGGTGAGATGCTACACAAATGCACCCATGGTATAGACTGAGTTAATGACTTATTCAAGAGTCCCTTCAGACATGTATTAGGACAAAAACAAATAGTCTGCTTGAAACAATAATGTGTGTCTGATTTTTATGTTAAGATGTTTCCTAATCCACTGTAAAGTTTATTCTCAGTGTTTGTGCATTGATGGCTTCAAGTTTCTACATCAGACTGTAGAAGTTGCATACTGGACCAGGATTGACCCTCAAGGTCACAAATCATGCTTATAGGCCCCCACCCCTTAAAATCAGATTTTCAGTGAGAGAAACTTTCAGCAGATGAATGTGAAAACATCATTCTAGTGTCAAACTCTGCACATACATCATTCTGCACAGTGAAGCTCAAACATTCAACTATAGGAACAAGAAGAAAAAGTGGTGCATATTGACAGTGTGTGGCTCATTTTTCTAATACACAGATACTGCCAGGTGTTCGGGTGATTATTGTAAATCCAGAGACCAGAGGTCCACTGGGTGATTCTCATCTAGGAGAGGTGAGAGGAAGCCATAATCAGACACCTTTTGTCCTTTTGTGATGATACAGTATCTTGACAAAATTGTTGGTAAAGCCTTCTTCCTTCTGAAACCAGCTGTGACCCTGTGAGCGTGCTTCTCTCTCTTAGATCTGGGTGAACAGCCCTCACAGTGCCAGCGGCTACTACACCATTTATGGAGAGGAGAGTCTTCAGGCCAACCACTTTAACACCAAGCTCAGCTTTGGAGACCCACAGACCTTATGGGCCAGGACGGGATACTTGGGTTTTGTGAAGAGGACCGAGCTGCTGGATGCCAGTGGGGGTAAATAGACCCTGACAGAACTGAAGTCTTTAGTTTAGTCTTGATGAGTTCGTTATGAGATAGAGATACACTCCTAGCTGCTTTTTCTTCTACTCTGTCTGCATACTTTTCTGATGGATAACATTGCCTGTATTTCTATGCTCAGATCGGCATGATGCTCTGTTTGTGGTGGGCTCGCTGGATGAAACCTTGGAGCTAAGAGGGTTGCGCTACCACCCAATTGACATTGAAACCTCAGTGTCCCGGGCTCACCGCAGTATTGCTGAAAGGTGAGAATGCTCTTGATATACATACAGTACATATTATTAGTTCCATTGTGTTTAAGAATTTGCACTATCTTTAGTGCTTAAATATGCACAGGAGTGCTGCTGAAAAAGGATATTTAAAGAACACAAAGTCTGACTTTTACTAGGTGCTAAGGTTTAGTAGTTTTCTTGTTAGCCATCATTCAGCAATTCTGACATCACAACATAATCCCTGCTATGTTTTTATCCCATGAACCAGGACTCTTTAATTTGACTCTGTAATTAGGTAAATGACACCTGGGTGATACAATTAACAGTATAATAAGCTGGTGCCTGGTAGAGCATGTATCATGTATCAAGTGGTGTGGGTCCGAGTCTGGCCCATGTCCATTGCTCCATGTCATTCTCTCTCTCTCTCTGCTCTGTCGGCGAGCCCTCTCTCTTCTCTCCCTCCTCTCTTCTTCCATCTCTCCTCCTCTCTCTCTCTCTTCTCCTCTCTTCTCTCCTCCTCTCACTTCTCTTCCTCTATTGTAACGGAGACTCAAAAAGAGTGACCACATAAGCTGAAGTAAATAAAAGAAAAAAAAAAAAAACGTCTGGTTAGAGTAAAGTCACATTTTGCGAAATACGCTTATTGCCTTTCTTGCAGTTAGAAGAGAAGATCAATATCACTCTCATGACTGTACATTAATACAACACCACAGCCAGCAACTGGTTAACTTGATTTTAGCTCAAAGACTTGAATCAGGGGGAAACGGCTAAAATACCAGGACCTTGACAGCTCACTAACTAACATGTTATATCTAATTTGCGTAACCAGGACTTTTGTATTTTCTGTACAGATTAATGTGAGTTAAGTTCTAACTCTTTCTAGCAGGAAAGCGAATAAGCGTTTTTTCCAGAATGTCAATCTATTCCTTTATCATTGCTTTTGGATTAGGATTATGTTCTCAGTCACCCTGTTCTTGTTCCTCACAGTGCTGTGTTTACGTGGACCAACCTGCTGGTGGTGGTGTCAGAGCTGTGTGGTTCAGAGCAGGATGCGCTGGACCTGGTGCCTCTGATAACCAATGTAGTCCTGGAGGAGCACCACCTCATCGTGGGCGTGGTGGTCATTGTGGACCCAGGGGTTATACCCATCAACTCCAGGGGAGAGAAGCAACGCATGCACCTTCGTGACTCTTTCCTCGCTGACCAGCTGGATCCCATCTATGTCGCTTACAACATGTGAGGGGTTGAGGTGGTTTGGGCTTGTTAAGGAATTATCCACAGTCTGGATGCTTCTGCATCATCATCCCAGCATCCGACTTCGGCTTTAGCAGATGGTGAAAAGGAAAAGCATGACCCACACGCACTGCCACCCAGCCCTGTGTGACACCAGCATATCTTGGCCACTGCATGTCTGTGATTGGACCTGCCATGTTTGGAGTTGTTCACTGTGTTTTATAGATACAATTTTGCAAATGGGACGGAAGCAGCATGTACTGCATACGGCAAAGAGAAAGCGGCCCCTGTTGCACTTATTTTGGGGAACGGGTGAAATGACACATACAACAGGACCACTTTTAAAATTAATTGTATATTCATCTCTTCGTGAAAATCCATCTTATTCTGTACCTACCTACCACAAACCTCTTAAAACACTTCCCTTGTGTATCAACACAGTTTCCAAGAGCTACTAAACTTCGATCAACAACTTGAAATATTTTTACATTGCAGCTTTTCAAACAAACGCACACAAATGCATGCGCTGAGTCATTTCTCACTAACATGGATGAATAAAAGAGGGCAGAAGAAAGCAAACCATTAAACACGTAGCCAGTGTGTGTGCAAAATTTTAGAAAGCATATTTTGTCCCATGAAAATGAAGCCAAATAGATTTTCACAACTTTTCTGCCCTAATATATTTCCTGCCTTATAAAACTTCAGCCATACATTCCTATCCTAATTTTTAACAAATCTGTTATTAATAGCAGTTTATTCCCTTTTGGTTTTGACTAGTAGTGGGAAACCTGACAGATATCCAAAGGGATCAAAATAAAAGAGGAAAGAGGCCATATTCTGTACTGTACCTATAAAGGCCTGTTGTATTTTAGATACTGTACGTTACTGTATAGATATTTTTAACTGTATAAATGTATAAATGCTTGACTTGTCTCTCTCAGTTGGTAGTTTCTGAACAGTTAACCCAGCTTGGAGATGATAACTGTAGCAGAAAGAATATTGTAAATAAGATTTAACAGTTTTGACAGTACTTTTGAAGTGAAATATTAGTTGTATAATGGAGGGTAAAGATGAATAACTTTAAAGCATTGTTAGTCAGGATAGATATAACATTGCACTTTCTCAAAAAAAATGGTCTATTTTATTATAACAATGAGGCATTATAAGTAATGGTTCAGGAGCATACATTATTCTGCAGAGCTTTGAGAGTTTACCGGGAGGGCTATCACTGTTTATGCCAGGGACTTTTCCTGTCAGTCAGTTGGGGGGAAAAAGGAGAGGAGGCTAAAACCAATATGATGACTGTTTTCAGGCTACCAGGTTATTTTGTAAAAAGGTGAAAGATAGTCCACAACTGTTCATCTAATACCCATCGCCATTGTACTTTGTATTGCTAAACAGTCACACCCCTCTCTCAGTTTCATTGCATAATAGAGCAAGTGTTTGAGAGTCTGGCCCTTTCCTTTCCTCTCCACACTCAAAAAGTTCACTCGAAACTGTGTTTTGTCTTTGTGCAACTTTGTAAAGAATTACTTTGAATTCCAACAGGATTGTTGTTGGTACTGTAAGTCTGTAGTCAATAGAGGCAAGTCATCATGTATCTGGATTATTTTCTGTGTTCAGTCACTGGATTTATAAGCACTTGTGAATGCAGTTGCAAAGCTGAGCCACATCCTGAGAAACATCCTTGATTGGCAAGTGAAGTAATTGTATGAAAAAGAAAAGGATAAAAAAAATTGCATCAAGATGTTATTTGCAAAATGTATTTGGTTTTCAGCTATCTTGTGCTTTCCTTGTGCTCCTTGCCATAATTTATAGGTTATTTGTACTGGATGATACTGTATTTCAGTGATGAACCCTTAATGTCAACATGTAAATAGTGTTTTTTTTTTTTTTACTTTTGCAATTGTCCCATTATAACATTCACTCATGCCAAACACACAATTTAAGAAAGATACTTAAATCATTTCAAGGTAAACAGGAATATGATCCATTGAATTACTGCACTTTGCACTGGTGGTACTTACAGTGGGGTTCTACTGTGTGGTGTGGACTGACTGATCTAACTATCTCCACTTCATGTTACATTAAATGTGTTCATTTTAATATTTTTTAATTTAAAAAATATATAATGCTTGACATTTGTTTTTTTCTACCCCCAGTTCTAAGTCCACCTAGAAAGAAAAAAAAGAAGAGTAATAGTACTTCATCTAGCTTTAACACTGTGTCCTACGTTTGCAGCAGAATGTTTGCATGACTCAGCCAAGCACAAGAGGATAGCAGCTTGAGGCACATTTCATCTCGAGGCACAAGTGGAGAGATATATATGTATGAAAATGTATATTCAGGGAACTAAACTCATGACACAGGGATGGACCAGATGGTCCCTTGGTGCAATCTGTGAATAATACCCATTAAATGTAAACAAATCTCATTGTAATTAAGGCAGACCTTGCAAATCAGCAAAAAGAGGGGTTACTGACAACCGGTGTCTACCATCTACCTGCTTCGCTGGGAAGTCTACGAGGGCTTCTTTTGGTTTCCGCTCTAACACACTATGCAATCCCAATGACGGTGCAATTTAATTTCAATATACATAATGCTTATACATTTTTGTAATAACCGAGAACAGCGGACTGATGAAATTTAACCAGTAGTGTACTTAAGACTGTATTAATCTCTCTTGAGTTGTTCTATCAATATTTTGTGTATGCACTCTTGTTGTATATGAATTATTTGGTGAATTCTAAACCCGCTCCATGAGGGTGTGATCCACTGATGAATCTTTAGTGTTTTAACTCATATAGTTAAGAAATCAAGGTGGTACACCCCCTTCCCATTTTTCTCATTTGATTTCTATTTTGGTTTGTTGTACTTTGTTTTATACTTTATGTAAAAGTAATACAGAATAAACATTTAATCATTGCAGGTGTCCTGGTAGTCGTGAGTCTTAGTAATGATGTTGAACTAATAGCATAGACTCTTTATTTAAAGATTATTACATACTGTAACATGTATCCTTACAGTGAGGGCATATTTGAGAATTTTTTATAATGGACAGGAAAGAGATTGTTTGCCAAACAACTTTGAATCATATTCAAAATAACATCAGGCAATGATAAGACAGCGCACAGAGGTTTCTTTAAAAGATTAGTCACTAAGCACTGGTTTGTTCATGTGATGCTCACTCCCTTTTAAAGTAAATGGAGGAGGCCCGATGTTTCAAATCATGAACCGACTGCTACCTGGAAAATGGGAACAAATTTTTAAAACAGCAGCTGTGTCGTGCTTTGTTAAAAGATTGGTTAAACATGCACATAATTTTGTAGCAAGTGAGTTCAAACATAAGACTACATGGATCTGATCTGGTTTCAAGAAGAGATGACCAAACACAAGAGGGCACAATCAGTGATCCAAGAATCAGTGGTAGAAGAAGTATTTGAGTAGAAGTAACAATATTTCAAGTGTTATCAGCTAAATTCACTATTAATTGAGTATTAAAAGTATAGTATAGTAGTATAAATATTTACTATACAGAATGCCCCCCGTCAGAGTGTTATTATTTGATTATTCACACTGATATATTACTTTGTGAGCAGCATTTTAATGTTCTAGCTGGCCAATTTTAAGTGCTTTATTTACTGTTTAATCCATTTTATAAGATAACTACATGATTTGAGTGTAAAATACAGCTAAAGTAGCTGCAGCTTCCCAATGAAATGCAAAATGTAAAAGTGTAAAGTAGCATAAAACTGCATATCCCCCTGTTGTTCTTCTGCATCCACCAGTTGCTTTTCACTCTTTTCACCAATCACAAAGCCTAAAGTATCTATTACGTAATGCGTCTTTGGCGAGTAGCGCCGCCCATTTCCTTTGGGAAAAAAGTGGTCAGCTATTTTTTTTAGCTGACATCTTTGTATTTTTAGCTGTTAGCCATTGCTGCTAAGTAACTTTTCTAGGTATTTCTTGTCTCAAAGTATATACACGAATTGCACGAAGTCCACGCTGTGAACAAGAGCAGTTACGCGACCTTTGAAAAGGTAAATTCTGGCTGGCTGAGCGGTAATCTTTGTGCTCTTCTGGCTGTCTGCTCCGCTGTGGCGGTAATGGCGGCTGTTGCTTCGTCAACTCCTCGCCGTTTTACGAAAAGGGAAGGTGTAGTTAGCTTAATGGCTCCCCGTATCGCTGACGTCTATTGACGCGGTAACTTGCGTGCCAGTGACAGAGTTACACATATTTGCTCATTGAGACAAAAGCTCATCCATCCTGTGAACCAGAGTAACGAAACTTGCCTCGCTCGTAGCTCTTAAACTGGAGTTTTTAACGGTTTGAACTGGTTTACAGCCGTTTAACTGAACGTTAGCTGCCGTTAACTAGCAACGGTAATGTTGGTGAGGTCGAAAATTCTAGCAGTAACGGCTCAAAGGGCAACTGCCGTTCCCGCTGCAAACGTATATATACTATGGATGAAGTCGCCCCACTTTCTCAAAATTTGCATTTAATTAAATCAGGAGGGGAGGAAAGTTAACAGTATTGACTGTCGGGCCTAGCTATGTTCCGTAACTCCATGTTAACGTTTGCTAACATGGTTGATCCAAAGAGGAAGTCGATCTTTTAACTTTGTTAGCTTGAAGTCACCTGTTTATCTAACTTACTAAGTTAACTTAATAAACGGAATAAACGGTTTGCTAACATAAGAAACTGATTTGATATCACACTAGTCGGGATGAGTTGTTAATTATACCAACAAATAACTTGGCGCTCAGGCCACAGCGGAGTACAGCACACTACAGGCAGGCAACCCCGCCAAATACAGCTAATATGTTAATACATTAGAGCCACTGTAAAACGGTAATATTGATTTATTTGTTCCCAGTTACTATGGAAGAAGTACAGCAGGGCAGCAATGGCACCGAGACACAGACTACCACCATTCCCACTACCATCACATCCTCTCAGTTCTCACAGATAGCCCAACAGGTAACTAATAGATCCCTTTTAAGATACCATTAAAAAGTATCTCATAAATGGTGCTCTACTATATTGCCACTTGCACTGCTAATACCACGGGTCCATTTTGTTCATGAATATATGAATTGCGAATCAATATAACGTTATTAAGTTTGTTTTAACTCTTGCAGCTAAATATTTAAGCAGCATCCAAGCAGACTGTGCAGTTTATTTACCCCAAAAGTAATTTGCATTATTACATTTGCAGTAGTTATAGTAAATATAAGTACTTTACAGTATGAATTAAGTCTTAAATAAAATATGTATTTATTTATTTTTTTAATAAAGGGTGCGGTTGGAGAATCTGGGCTTTAGTGTGACTATCCTGCTTGGTGGAGTCGGCCCTCCTCCTGTCTTTCATTTACACCAAGTTCTTCCAATAAGTATTTGACAGTAGAAAACAGTGTTTCTGTCTGAGTTCATAGGTCTGATAAGAAAGTGGTTCTTTACTTTTATGGATGTAAAGCTCAGGTTGGGGTAAATTAACGCATATGTAATTGTATTGTGACAAGACCCATGTTGTGTTCACTTAGACTAAATAATATAGTTCTTAAAGTAGATTTTAAATGATCAGTTCACCAAAACGACCTTACATTACTTTAATTTTCCACTAAACCGTTGTGATAGTGAGTGAGTTTTGGTTTTATGGGGGTATCCAGTTTGAAGATTTCAGCCCACAGTCCTCTGTCATAATGGAGAATTTAATTATTCTCAAATGAATAAAATATTATATTTTAAAAACTGAATATTTTACTTGTCTTTATAAAAACAATAATCTTGATTACTCGAGACAATCTACAGCTGCCACTATTTCCTCAGTAGAGTGTAGATTCTGTGAAAACTCTTTCCAGCAATCTGTAGGTTGTCATGTAGATTAACATAAAACCAAAAGCGTCTCCATGGCTTGACACCTAGAGGAAACTGATTAAATGTGTTTTGTATGTTTTGTAATTTGGAGGAAATGATAACCCCTTTAAGCAATTTATTTTTTATTTGAATGAAGTCTCAATGTGCTGCTGAACTCACCTTTTTTTCTTGCATACACAAATTGAATGCAATAGCCACAATTAATATATAGTATATTTTGTGGTTTTAAATGTGTGTTTGTGTTTTTGTAGATGTCACTGGGAGGTTCTTCCGTGGCTGTTGTACAGCTGCCAGGGGGTCAGTTTCAGGTTCAAGGAGTGATCCAGTCTGCACAGTCAGTCATTCAGTCCCCTCAGGTGCAGATTGCACAGGTGAGACCATATGGATTTCTTGGTACTGTAATAATTTATCTTCGTAGTTTTTTGTTCAAACTGTCAATATGCCATGTTATTTGCACTGTGTTAATCCACTTCCCTCTGTCAAGGCCCAGGATTCAGATAGTGATGATTCACAGGACTCATCAGACAGTGGAGTTGCAGCCCAAAAGACCAGAGAAATACTGGCAAGACGGCCGTCATACAGGTAAAAAACAACAACAACAACTACAAGCACAGACAACACAAAAACAGTTTTATAAGATGAATACTACATCAGGGGACCCTCTTCCTCTCACCTTGTAGAAAAATCCTGAATGAACTTTCCTCTGAGGAAGTGGCACACATTGAGGGAAAAGATAACAGCCCAGCATCGACTGGAGTGACAGGTGTTACAGTACCCACCACCCCAATCTACCAGACCAGCACCGGCCAGTACAGTATGGAATTCACCCTTCTATAATACACTTACACTATAATAAGAGTGGGTCCCAAAGTAGGGTCCATTTGACTTTGAAATTGAGAATTGCTTTCAAATATTATGAATGTGTAGGCCATTTAATCAATTAAAAGACAATTTGGGATGACTATGATTATTTTGTATGGTTGCTTACTGTATGCTTTCTTGTTGTATACCGGAAAACAAACTTATTGTAAACTGTTGGCCAAAGTGACTAATGGGTGAAATCCCCCCAAAGGTCTGTGACATTTTTTCAACCTGTCAAAACTCAAAGTAGTAACCTGGCCATCTAAAATGTGATTTTTACCTGTGCTTTACCCAATTCTGATGCCATCTGTTTGATTTTTCTAGTTACCATATCTGCCAATGGCACAATCCAACTGGCCACTCCAGGGTCCGATGGCATTCAAGGGCTACAGGCTGTCGCCATGGCCAACTCTGGTGGTGCCCAGCAAAGCACCACCATCCTTCAGTATGCCCAGACACCTGACGGCCAGCAGATACTGGTGCCTAGCAACCAGGTGGTTGTACAAGGTAAACAAAACATGATGTATTTATTTTATATAGAAAATGTATCTAGGTTTATAAGATTTCTGCTAATGTACGGTAGTCATATTTTTATTGGGGGATTCCAGCAGGTAGTTAATGTGAATCTGTGTCATTTATTCTTTTCATATTCAACATAGAATCCAAAGTGGAAAAATTATTATTATAAATTATTTAATTATTCATTTATGAATCCAACACAAAAAAACTAATAATGGCTTATTTTTCATACTTTAGGCGCTACATGATTTAATGTAATGATTATGTGCTTTAAATGTTTGGGACATTTTGTGTCACTTTAAAAGTCTTCACTTGTGAACTGTATCCTGTTGCCATGGATACAGTGAGTTAGGACTGTAGGCAGCAACGTTTTATATTTGTTTACACTTTGGAAAATGAAGTTTTGCATAATTAAGAGTGCTTTGTTGCTGTGTACCTCTGAATGTACTGAAAACTAACTAAATGACTTTGATACTAAAGAAATCTCTTCTAAAGCAGCCCCATTCATGTCCTGTCATTGAGCCTTGTGTTTTATTTTCCAAAATAAAAAAATACTTCAAGCTTATATTCGTACATTAATTCAGGTATTAACATGAGTGTATTTACTGCATTTATGTTTATTAAAACATGAATAAGTCAGCAACTTCCTGCTCACGCAAATCACACATTTAATATCAAGATCAATTTCGGTTGGTTACATTTTCTATTTTTCACATGAGTGTAAAATCGAAAGTACAAAAAACATAAGCTGTTGTTTTTTGAGTTAGATTCATAAATTTATAACATTGTTTTTTAATTTTCTGATTGGATTGTGTATTGAATATGAAACTAATGTACTATACACAGTTTAATTTGACTGCTTGGCAGATACCAAAATCAGACAGTAGCACTGACTCAAAAAATATAATCTCAATATTTATTTCAATTAGAGCTCTGACAAGGAAAGAAAAAGTAGGGTGGTCCAGCAAAAAACTTCACCTGAAGCACACTAACATACATAAAATATGTGTAAAAGCACGTACCAGGTAGAAGACTTATACTGTGTAATGAAGAGCATTGTGCTAATACTTGTGTTTACCTCATGCATGGAGCCAGATGAACAATATGATGATCAAAATACAACCTTTCAGAGTTATAGTATAAGCTACTGCACTGTCTTTTGGTCCTGATAAGCATGGAATAGTTAATAGTTAATCTGCTCACTGGTACTTTACCTGTAGTTACTTGCCCACACATACAGCTCCTTTATTCTTTTTGACATAGCGCGATTGTGTTTGAAATGCGGCTTTACTTCAAGGTGCCTTACTTCTAAGAGGATGATTGGATTTGGGTTTAATTGATATCAAGGTCCTCAACAAGTTAATGCCTTTCTTAGAACACCCACACAGGTATAAAAACATCTCCTATAGAGACTAGAAAGGTAGAAATAAGAGTTAATAAACTCACAAAAATATCTCAGAGCTCCTGTCTGAGCCGTGTGTGTTCATGTTCACCCTAACCCCTGATGGGTTCTAATGTTGTGCATGTGTGTTTATAGTCAACAAACAACAAACGACTGTCTAACCCTCACAAGTGAGATTTCTCGAGTGTCATCTTTTGACTGTCCTGTTTCCCACAGGTGCAGGAGGAGAGATGCAAACATACCAGATCCGCACAGGTCCAACATCCAGCTCTCTGCCTCAGACTGTAGTTATGACCTCTCCAGTGGGGCTATCTCAGGGCAAGACTGATGATCCAACAGTGAAGAGGGAAATCAGGCTTGCAAAAAATAGGTAGGAGTACAGTTTATCTTTTTTTATTATTTCTGGGTTTTGTTGGCATGTTAAAAACAATAATTGCAGTGCCTGCATTACTGGAGGTGAGCTCAGAAACAGACATATTTTTCCAAATTAAAAAGATTGTCATTATAAAGTACATTTGTTACTTGCTTTAGATTTACAGCTGTAGCTTTGGACAGATGGGGGTTGTGATATGGAGAAAATCCTTTATTAAGGTTTATACCACGGTCTGGGTGAACACTTGACTCTGATTGGCTGCTGGCTGTCCATTAATACCTGATGTGGGACACCTACTAATTACTTCCAGTGAAACTGTCTCTTTACCTTTCTAAACTAATACGCTGAAATAAATTGAATGAAAACAAAATCTACCTAGCTAAGTATCCCATAAATCTATCTCACAGCACCGAGTGTTCTTCAGTGCCTCAACCTCTGAAGGCCACAGGATGGCGACTGTAACACACAAACCCCAACACTGCCCCTCTGAACTTACTGATACTTTGTATAAGCAGTCCTCCCACATCCTGCTCGCTATTCAGCTCACTGCTTCAGGCCGCGGCCGTCAGTACACATATGGTTTGTGAAACTCTTGATATTGATTTGGGGACAATGACATGGCTGATAGCTTGTGTTGTTAAACAAACTCGTACTATATTTACCGTCTGGTGGCTGTACGCGGTATCATGGCTGAGCCAGAGCGCTCTGTCAGCCGAGGTAATTAGAAACATCTCCCGTTGCCAAGTCGTATCTGTGGTTCATCCTATTTACTGGAGTAGTGAACAACGTTTCCATTGCATTAGAACTTTAATGATTCTTCCAGGTATTAGGAATGACCTCAGGTGTTACCAGGGAAACAGGGTTATAGCTTATTAAAAACTTTAGATTTTTATTGCAAAACGCATGAAAATCTAAAATAATGATCTTTTGTTTTTTGGTAAGTGACCATGATATAAGTTGGGTAATGCCCTTCGATGTGTCCATAACCAGGAATTAATGGACTCCTCGGAGGCAACAATGTGCTGCACGTCAGGCGGTTCTGCCTCTGCGTCATCCATTAATTCCTGATAACGCACATCTCTTCGGGAATCATCCCTTACGCATGTAATTTTATGGTGCAATAGTTACAACACTGTATATTTTGATGTGTTGTCAGTGCACTGATTGCATAAGTTTTCAGTTGTACTAACTGCACATTTTTCCCTCTTTCAGAGAGGCAGCCCGTGAATGTCGACGGAAGAAAAAGGAATATGTCAAATGCCTGGAAAACCGCGTAGCTGTTCTTGAAAACCAAAACAAGACCCTGATCGAAGAACTGAAAACATTAAAGGACCTTTATTGTGTTAAAACAGGATAGCCTGTTTGGGTAGAGGTTGAGGATTGAGACATAAGCGGAGCGGCAGCTCAGCCATTTGGACGTGAACTGGGTTTCTGGGAACACTGCATTTCAGGCTGAGATCCTCCAGTTTTTTTTTACTCTGTTTGATATAAAAGTGACTTGTGATGGCAGTAAGATATACTCCAAAAATACAAAAGAAATTGGCCATTTTTCCACCTGCTGTTTTTTAAAAATTTGCTAATGCTATAACATTTATAGTTGTGTATATTTTTAATACTGGGAGGTTTGAAATTGTGAGCTTTAACTTTGAGTCTCAGTTTCTAAATGTATCCCTTTCCTCTTTTTCTTGTGTTTTTAAAAATGTTGCTGCTGGAGGTTGTATTTTTTAACCTTCTAACAGCATCTGCAGAATTTTGACTGTATAATTACTACACAGACATAATTCCTCTTTATTTTGTGAACCAGCAATTCCCCTCATTTCCCTATAAGGAGATGTTACAATTTTCATTCCTTATTTTTGTGCAATGGAATATAAAGGGTAACAGAAACGATGACATTGAGTATGATTTGTTTGGTTGTTTCTTGGCAGTTACTTAGACAATCAGGGAAAAATGCACAGTGTCCAGGTAATATTTATTATGTACATCTTGGGAGGGGTGGGGAAGAAGAACAAACAGTGTATGAAAAGTTGCTGATTCTGTAAGTAAATAAATATATTTTCACTCAATAAATACAGTGTGGCATTTTTGTTCAGTGTAAATGAGAATTTAAGCAGATCTAACGACTGTATACCTTCTGAAGCCCCGCAGCAGGCAAAGTGAAGTCTGCCCTGCAGTCATTTAATGGAATAGCCCACAATATGTGGCGTTATCATGGGAGTAACCTCTGGAGCCTCAATGTGTTTTAGGTGAAGTTCAGAGAAACCAGCTGCCTCCAGATCTTTCCATGTTGCTCTGGTAATCATGCATCCGTCGCCCAGATAGTACCACACAGGCTCCAGCACGTGCTGGAAGAAGTATGTCCAGGTGGAGGGATCTGAGACAACGTGCTCTAAAAAGTAGAAGGCTCCACCCTGTAAGAGAGCCAACCAAAACACCTTATCACTTGTTTCATCAAATCAGATTGTGTATCTTTGCTACTGCGATGGGGGTAGTTTGAGTGTTGTTGTTCCACTGAAGGCAGAGGGGAGGAATAGCAGAACATAACAGATGTGAATTCAGCTGTCTGAACTAACTGTGTAATCATTCAAAACCCAAACTGACTTGAAAATATCTTGTTCACTGTAGTGAGAGACAATCTAATTTTAATTACCTATTAATCAGATGTCCTAAATATGAATCTAACTACAAATGTTATCTATTAACCAAATGCATTATGTGCTTTTCAAAATAAAATAGAATATCCCGTTCTGAAAGTGCAAAGATGATGATGAATATTAATAATAATAAGCAGTCATTCCAGACAAATGGTGCTAAATTTGGGCCAGTTGGTAAAAACAAACATTATACAGCCTCTCAATGCAGCCTTATTTGTGTAATGTAGAAAAATACCAGAATGGAAGAAGTCATCAGTCACAACAGCCAGAGACAGTACAGCTCATGTTTGCCATGACAGTGCCACTCTCATCACCCTTTTATAAATGTGCGTTCCTGTGTGATAATACTAAGACATATACAGGTATAATGCAAATTATTGATACATTATTACAGATGTCTATATACTGGTAATAATCAGGTTTGTTTAGTGCTCCGGGGCTCACTAACAGGTTTATCCAGCCATGCTCATTCGCGTGTGTGAGGTCACCAATACAAATATTCCCTACAGCTTGTGAAGGCATCACATAGAGACTCACTGGTCTGAGGATGCGGCGGACCTCCTGCAGCACCCGCAGCACGTTGCGGACGGAGCACAGCACCAAGGTGCACACCACAACGTCCACTGAGTCGTCCTTCACTCCCTGCATGTCCTCTCCGGAGACGACTATAAAGTCGCCATAAGCCAAATGCGTGTTCGCGTCCATGCTCATCCGCAGGTACTTGTGGAAGTGCGGGTTGGGATCGGTGCAGGTCACCGTGCAGCCGTACGGGTAAAACTTGAAGTTTGCACCGCTGCCACAGCCGATCTCCAGCAGGCGGAGGGTGCCGTCGGAGTTTGCAAATTTGGCCACGTTTCGGAAAAGCTCCCTCTTGGTTTCGTGCATTTTATCGTTGTATGAAAATGTTACGTTGTAGGCAAGTAGGGGAAACAAACGCTTGTACATACCGTACAGTCCAATGAGCTCCATCAGGTGTAAAGGCAAAGTCAACACAAAACAAAGCAGTCTGCAGAATTTCATGAGACAAGACTTCATGTTATGCTCGACTAGTCGTAAAGTCTTGCTGGTGAGCATTTTAGGACAGCAGAGTTTATAAGATCAGAAGATTACAGACAAAATCCAGCCGGCCGTGACGCGTTCAGGCTGCGCCGCGTCCGCCGGATCTGACCGCTCCAGACAATCCTGACAGACGCGGCACGGCACGGCACGGCACGGCCCAGAAGCGTCTCAGATAATAACGCGGCTGGGCTACTTGTGACGACACTGTTAATACCTGAGCGACAGTGTTAGTGTTGGAAGATTAGGATGGCGCCAACACAATGTAGTCTGCATGAGGGAGGAAACGTGACACCAAGATCAAGTCCTCCGCCCCAGATTTCAACTGTATCATCTCAATGTTTGTTTAATAAGGAAAGGAAAATCATGCTGCAGGATTAAACTCTTTAATCACTAACACAATCAGCTCAATCACAGCAAAAATATCTATTTTTAGTGACACAACTGTCCATAAAATGTACAAATAAAGTAGCACACAGATAATAACCTGTAGACAGAAATGGCAGTATCATATTGATTTATGTTTATCAGCAAGCAACTAGGAGATTGGAGAACAACGGATACAAGATGAAGTAGACACTGAGATATATTTAGGTCCAGTGTGTAACATTTATGAGGATCTACTGGCAGAAATGGAATACAATAGTGCATAATCGCCTGAATACAACAATCAGGTTTTCTTTACCTTAGAATTGATCTACGGAGGGAGCGGGTCCTCTCTAAGGAGTCCGCCATGTTGAACTATGTTACTACAGTAGCCCAGAACGGACAAATCCAACACTTGATCTTTCAAATTTTTTATGGCAACCGTAGTTTCTCCTACACGCAAACGTGAGAGTGAGACGCGGGGGTTGCAATCTGCAACTACANNTAAATCCTACACACTGGACCTGTAAACTGCAAGCAAACTGTGTGCTGTCTATGTACGATTTTTATTCAGTGTGTTAAAATAATTTGCCTTTACCAAACAAAGACATTAGTTTGTTTGTTTCTTCAAATACAAAAATAAAATTAGTATAAAAGTGACTGGTTCTATCTATCACTGGTGATCAATCACATCACAGAGGAGAGGCATTTAGTGCTTGGCATATTCACACACTGGTTATTAGGCAGAAGCTACAAAGCTCAATCAGACCGTCTGGATCAGAATCTATTTCACAGCATAACCTACGATGTGCGGTCTGATCACAAAGACTAGCGGCGCTTCGATGTGTCTCATTTTGAGTTCGGAGAATCCAGCTGCCTCCAGGTGTTTCCATGTTTCTCGGGTGACCTCGCAGCCATCGCCAAAGTAGTACCACACAGGCTGGAGAACATGCTGGAAGAAGTATGACCAAGTGGAGGAGTCTGCCACAACATGCTCAAGGAAAAAGAAGGCTCCGCCCTGCAAAGCAAACATTTGTTATGTGTGTAACATGCATATTTCTAAATGTATCCATTCCACCTGATGCATGTTTGCATGTTGTTTAATTCTCTCCCTGACAGAAATGGGTTCCTTTACTTTACTTGTGTTGTATAATTAATATATTTCAGTATAAGTTTCCCTTTAAAGGCCTACGGCTGGAAGCTGAGCATTCTTTTGTCAAATATAAAAACTTACAATACAAGTTGAACATTAATATTACATTACTACATTATGAAAGGAGTAGAAGATTATTGATTGATCAGACCTAATGATGACAGCGCACTGACATCATCTCTTGACGTTACCATACGGGTCAAAAGGTAACAGGAGTGTGTGATTAATGAAAGAGTCATCATCAATCATTTCTCTGCTTTGCATGTTAAAGCAAATAAGTTTCAGTAACGCACAAACATAAGCTTTGATCTATTCACCAGTTTCATTTCATTTTCTCGGAGCCCTGAATGGATTTCTGAACTCTGTGATATCTCCATTTTGAGATATTTTTATAAAATCATGTTTTTTTTTTTATTGTGCACTCAAGGGAATATCAATCAAACTGCTGTTGGTTTATTCATTTAAAGAATGGCTTTTAGCAATTTTTTTGCCAATTAATCTCCAATGAGCTAATATTTATGATGATTTATCAGTCAGGCTCAGTTTTTCATTCCCTTTTTTTTTCTTGGACTTTAATTCCAAACTTATCATTTAACCTGTGAACACCCACAGAGGGGTTTTCCGTCATTTGGAAGGTGTACTTTGTCACACCCTAACAGGTGCAACAAAGCTAACCAGAGACTCAAGAAGATGGCAATCAAGTACAATGTACACCAGGGGCGTGCCCAGGCTTTTTTTTTTTTTTGACTAGGGGCAGAGGTGGCATGAACTATGTGTCTCATTATTCCCAATTTATGTAATTCCAACACTGTATGTGCCTCAGTATGCTGACATATTTAAGATACACTAGGGAGAAAATAACATTTATACCGCATGCAAAAAACTGCATGTTTTTCCCCCCAAAACTGCACTTGGTTGGCATAAAGTGGGCATGTTTGTGAAGGGGAGACTCGCAGGAAACCATAGAACCCATTTTCAGTCAGATATCTTGAGGTCAGAGGTCAAGGGATCCCTTGGAAAACAGCCATGCCAGTTTTTCCACTGCCAACACTGAGCCTAACTTTGGAGCCTTATTGAGCCCCCTCCCACACATGCTATCATGATAGCAATTGATAGCAATGGATGCAGTAGGTCATTTAGTTTCATATGGTGCCACAAAGCTCTACAGCCTCTGAAAGAGTGCGGAGGGGAAGAAGTTAGGATAATGGGTGGTAACTGGGTGGCCAATCAGATTTCAGGCCACTCCATGCCAGTGCCACCTCATCCTACCCCACCCACCCTCTGGTGTACATTCCTGAAAAGATGTCTTATCAGCCAGACACCTGTGTGGCTGTTTTAAATAACAACAGTAAAGTTAAAATAAAGTGAATTCTGTACTTTGTTAAAATAAATCACAGGTGCCTGCCAAATAGTGAGTTACTTATTCATTTCCAATGATTCATCCATAAGGTAAAAGATCAATTTCCGTGCAGCTATTATCAGTAATGTAGTCTCAATCAAATGCAGCCTATAGGGAATCCATTCATACTTTGATCCAATGGCTATTTCAGGAGATGACTTACTGGCCTCAGTATGCGGTGAGCCTCACGCAGAGTTTGCGGTATGCTGCTGACAGAGCAGAGCACCAGGGTGCAGACAACAGCGTCTACCGATTCGTCCTCAATTGACCCCATGTCCTCCCCTGATGCCACCACAAACCTCTCAAAAGTGAGGTGGTCATTCTCGGCCATGCCTTTCTGCAGATACTTCTGGAAATGGGGGTTAGGGTCGGTGCAGATCACCTTGCAACCGGGCGGGTAAAACTCAAAATTAGTGCCGGTGCCACAGCCCACCTCCAGAAGTGTGAGCTGACCGCCGGGCTTGGTGAACTCTGACAGACTGCGAAACAGCTCCTTCTTCTTGTCGTACATTTTCTTGTTGTACGTGATTGAAATCCGATATAAACATACCGGGAAAATGCGTTTGTATATTTTGTACAGACCGACCGCTTCCATCAGGTGCAGGGGCACGCACAGCACATTCACCACAAAAGCACAAAATCGCATTAGAAAACTCATTTTTGCGGAGCCTCGACAGCGTGCCACGCAGCAGACTGTCAACAGCAAACGGTCTGTCTCTCTGGCTGCAAGACAGGAGCTCAAGATGGACGTCCGGTTGCATTTTTCAAAATAAGAGTTGAGAGGTTAAGTAGTGGAAGAAGAGTTGCTTCTTACTGCAGTATGCCATTTAATGCTAAGTATAACGTGAACAGTCATTACCAGTTCAAAGAAATTAAAAATACATTATAACAACTGACTGAATTTAAACTGACTAACTTAAGATACAGACACAAACATTTAATGGTCACATTTCAGACCAAACACTGGATACACATTATTTTACTATTTTAGGATAACTGCTGTTGGTTTAGTGAAGTGTTTAGTAGAAGTCTGTTGATTTAAGTTACATTATAATGAGTAATGATAGCTAGTTTTAAACACTTTATTGTCTTAACTCTCTTACGAGTGCATTGCATTTTAATTAAAGTAGATCAAGTACTGACTTTAATGTTGAAAGCTGCATTAATTATTTGTTGTGTTTTTTTTGCCACTTAGGGTGCAGAAGACAACAAACTGCCAAATCCCCAACTCTGACATATTGTAGTCAAAGGTAATATGTGAATCCATTAACCATTAGAGATTAGTCATAGTAATTTATTCCATATAATTCTATATTGTGGCCACATAGTGGAAATATTCTTGACAGCTCAAAACAATCTCAACTCATTGTACACTAGAGCTATATTGTTTAACTCAAACATTGTGCTGGACTAAAGAGACAAAAACAACAACAAAAATGTCACTGTACTACTACTTATGGAGTGCTCGGTGATTATACTGTACCTTAGTCCACAGGTACAGCACTACTGAGCCTGTAGTGCTATTAATAGAAGATTGTTTTGGTTGAGTTTTGGAGATATCGGATGTAGAGATATCTGCCTTCTCTTGAATATAATGGAAGATGGCACTCGGCTTTTGGTGCTCAAAGCACCAACAAGACTAAGTGGAAGCCTAGCATATAGCTGGACCTTGTAGGTTATGGTCAGCGGTAGTGTCTATAATAACAATTCTTGCATATTAAATGTTTAGATTTTCTGTAGTGACCCCACTGATATCTGTTCTTAAGGTGTACTGAAGTAGTAGATCATATGACAAGGCAGCTAGCTCGCAATCTGCAGCAATTTGGCATCTGTTCTATTTTTTTTGTGAGTGAATCTGGCAACAAAACAAACTGCTAATCTTTTATAAATGAGATAAATGATTTATTAAATGATCTCATTTTGATAAATGATGAAATATGCATCACATGCTTGGCCTTTTTCTGTCCCTCTCCCCACTGTTCAGTTTTGATTCCTCTTGAAGAAGTTTAATACAAATTTCTTTCTACGTATCAGAATCTAGACATGGATGAGAGGCATGTGCTTGTGACAGTGCAGGATGTAAAAATCGATGCCATCCTCTGTTGAGCTGTAATATTAACTAGCCCACCTAGCACCACTGAGATAGTTAATGTTCAGCTACAGCTGGTGGGTGTCGTTTGTAAAGAAAATATGAGTTTTTCACAAGTACTTTTTGGCACCAAGAGCACCACAAGCCCAGTGCCCTGTGGTTCCATTATATTTGAGAGAAGGTGGAAATCTCTATAGCCAATATCTCAAAAACTCGACAACCAACGCCAAAACAATATAGATGGATAATAGCACTACAGGTAAGAGGAAAAAAATAAAATATTTTGGATTTTGGGGTGAATTGTCCCCCTTTTTTTAACCACCTATCTGGTCTAAGTCACTTTGGTGCACTGCTATATGCAAAGCAGTCTAGAAGTCCCTCTCCTAACTCAGCCTTGGGCAATCCAGAGACAATCTCTGGGTTTTAGTCTATGGCTATAGTCTGACTTCATGTCTGATATCTCTTTGTCCCTTCTACAGCACACTGTGTAAAGAGTTAATGAGAATGGTGTTATATTCTTAAATATTTTCCATGCTCACTATATTGAAATTCACTGAAATGCTGAAAGTAGCTGAAGGAATGAAAATGCATCCATGTGATTTCCTGTAGACCTAAAGCTGCAGTTCTTCAAAATTCCACCAGATAGAGACATTGTTGGGTCACATTCAAAGCACTTCCTTTATAAAATCCTAATAAAATCCTCTAACTGTGTATTTTGAAGGGAGAAGGCTTTAGACAAAGGGTTACTATATATTTAAAGTGATTTATTTCAGTGACTGAATGTAAGCAGTCTGTATATTAGTAGTGCACTAACCTTTCTCCTGCTACAGACAACATTATAGACCGTTTGTGGTACAACAACAGTTTGTGATACATACCCAGTCTGCTCAATAGCCCATATAGAATTCCTTATTGTCTGTCTGTTTAAGACAGCATAGTACAGAGTAAACTATATTATTTAAAGGCCCAGTGTGTGACATTTAGGAGGCTCTACTGGCAGAAATTGAATATGATTTGTTTAACTATGTTTTTATTAGTGTATAATCACCTGAATATTGGAATCATTATGTTTTTGTTACCTTAGAATGAGACTTTTATACCTAGACACTGTGGGTCGTCTTCCTTGGAGTCCACTATGTCTCTACAGTTGCCCATGAGGGACAAACATAGACTAACAAACCAAACACTGGCTGTGAATGGGGCTTTCACATTTTTTCATGCATTTCCCAGCCATCCTATTTTCTCCTTCGGACTTGGAAAAGGAGGCTAAAGCCAGGGAGTTGCTGCATCTACACTGCTAGATACCATTAAATCGTACATACTAGTCCTTTAAAGCAAGGTTTGCAACCAAAGTCCTGAAGGTTAATTTGCTCCAGTGCTCCAACATATACATCCTCAGCACTAAACAGTGCATGTATTTTCCCTTGGTCTTGAATTAAGAACTATTATATTCATATTGCAGATATGTAAGTACCATTGTGTCCATGCATTCTGCCTGCATCATATACAATATTTGATTGTATATTATAAAATTATTTGATGTAGGCATGGCAGGCATTCATAGGACTGCATTTACAACCTCGTATTATTTTGTGCTTAGATCAGAGATATTATGCTTATGGGAAATACTAGAATATGGCTCTTAATAGAGTTCTAGTGTCACCAGGGGTTTTAGTATATGTGGTTCTAGTGGCAAGGTTTCTGAGACAGTTATACCAGGTTTTTAATATTCATGAAGAATAACTTAAAGCTTTGGTCACTGGGTCTGCAATGTGGATCTCAGTTACAGTAATGGGACTTTTTCACAGAAGATATTTTGATATGTCACAGTAGGAAAAGCAGGAGTGTAAATATTAAAATGAGAAATTGAAAGTGAATTCCTACTGAGTTTTATACCTTATAAGTTACACCCGATAGGGATTAGTCGATTAATCAATTCATCAATTGGTTGGCAACTCTTAAATTAACTGCCAACTATTTTGATAATCAGATAATCATTTTTTGTCCTTTTTTAAGAAAACAACTTTTCTGGTTTCAGCTTCTCAAATATTAATATTTTCCTGTTTCTTTGGTCGCCTGTGACAGTAAATTGAATAGATAGAAGATATTCAATCTTTGGGTTGTGGACTGACAAGACATTTGAGGATGTCATCTTGGACTTTGGGAAACAGTAATCAACATTTTTCACCAATATCTGATATTTTATGGATGAGAAATTGATCGACAGATTAATCAATAGTTATTTGCAGCCCTATTTAATATGTGGGTCCACTTTACTCAAGAATAAACAATGCAACTTTACTAAACTGCTTCACTGGTTTGTAAAAATCACTTTTGAATTTATATTGTATGCTGAGTGGACTTTAAATACATTCACTGTGATTATAAACATTTGTTTATTATATCTGTAAAGCACATACTGAAGTAAAATCAGTTATTTATGACATAAATAAATCACAAATTTCATATCAAACTTTAATTTGAAAACCACATCAAGAATGGGGCAATTGTTGATGTTTGTACCACCTTGTGTTTTTAAGGTTACATAAACTCTCATTGTGAGCTCAGAGTTGTGTTAAATGGGTCTTCTGACTTCCAGGTCTAATTCTAAAAATAAGATATAATCCCACACTGCAGTTATTTTCATAGCAGATCGGGATGAAAACAGATAGATAGATTGCCAATACTAATCCCAACCAGAATATCAATGACTGCTCCTACATGAACAGTGAGGTTTTTTTTTTTTCTGCTTACGATGCTGCGGTCTCTTGTCCGTTATTGAAACTAAAGGCATTTACCGACACTCCCTAACAATTTGCTGAGAGTCATCAATTATGCAGGGTAGCCGCACGCACTGGGAAGGAAGATAGCAGCAACAATATGGCGACAGCCGCAGTTACTCTCGACTCTTTTCTACATCTGCAGTTCAGTGACAGCTGTCTGGATTTCTGTTAATGCGAGAAAAAGTAAGTAGACAATGTGTTTTCTGCTTTGCCTGATATTTTGTGTCGTGGGATGGATCGCAGTCCCACTTTGTCGACTGACTGCATCCCAGTGCCGCAGAGCGGTCCCTCTCTCAGCATCTTTTCCTAGCGTCTGTGGAGGGCTGCTTGCCAATACATGGACAAATATGTATGCGAGGCATCCGTTAGAAGTGGGGAAGATGCCGATTTTTAAAAGGGGGGAAACAACGCGGATTTGTGATGCGACGTGGTAGAAAACGGGGAGACAGCTGGATATTTGGGGTGTTGGCCTGCCGCTGGATGGAATGACATTTCAATGTGTCAGTATGTGAAACATACGCATACGGGATGGAGAAGTGAGATCTCGTCAAACTTCTCTGACTGGCGACAGCATCTCGCCTCCATAAGCTCCAAGTGCACGAATAATGCGTCGCTTGCAGAATCATTTTAGGTAGCGATTTCCTTGCTACCATCATTTTATAAGTATGATAGTTTTACCCCCCCCTCACCAGGACCACCACCACCACCCCCACACTCCACCTCTGCGCCCCCCTCCCTCTTGCAATCTCTTTGGAGACTGTATTGCGTGAGGAGGTAGGTGCGTCTTTAGTTTGGCAGTCTTCACAAGGGCCGCGGCACCCTTTTTCTGGTATTTTCACGCACATTCTCATTAAAAAACAACAATCC